AATCACTCGAGTCCAACATTAGACTGCATTTGCTTTCGCATGTATCAATACGAGAGCGACCGCCGGCTCGACTGTTTGGCTGAGCAGGCGAAACGAGGCGGTCGGATTTTATAGCTGACTCGTTATTTGTAGTCTGTTTTGACAATTCCCAACACAGCTGCAGGAAAACTGTGAGGCACGTCAGGTAAACACAAAGCTGTGTTACTGCCTCCGAAGGAAACAGGAGGGGGGGAAAGTATAACACACAAAATAAAACACAGCTGGAAGGTGTAGATCAGCGCGCCAAGTGCGCACGTGCCCTGCAATCTGCAGTTTCACGAGGCCTATGCTGACACACACCTACATACCTTCTGCTTTCTGGCTGACCGGGCGGGAACAGGCTGCCCTACTATCTGCACAGACACGATTACTTTAACCGCATGCATTATTCATGGAAAAGACCCATGCTCCGCGTTTCTGTGTGTTCACCTGGGCTGCCAGAATAAAACTGACAAAATGCAGCATTATTCACCAAACATTAACACAGGAAGACAACTGTAGTGGGAGCAGAGCATTATTATGATGACTCTCTGACTCTAGGGAGTGGGTTCTCTGCTAAGAGCCGGTGGCACTTACACTTTTCATGCAAGGTTTAATGAGAGCACAGTGCATTGAATCCACCGAGCAGCAAACAGTACAAAGAGGTCGCTGCTGCTTTACAGTAAAAAAAAAACAACAATTTAAACTAATATCTATAATTTAAACACCTTCCTGTTTAACCCCAACTTGTAGTGTGTGGCCAAAGAGGTCATTTGATTAGCAGTTCAAAAGAAAAGGTATGAAATCTCCACCTTCAGGAAGATCCCTCAAACCTCAGGAGAGGTAAACGCTGCTCTATATGAATTAATACAGTACTGCACAAAAGTCTTGAGCCACCATCACGTCTTTGTTTTGATTCCAAGAAGTCAGACTTCCTAAGAGGTTTTTTTAAGGTGGCTTTGAGGAATAGTTCTCCAGCTTTCTGCAGGTCTTTCAAAGTGTTTCTTTGGACACTGGCTGCTTTTTCAACCATTTTCAGTCCAGACCCTGTACCTGAGCATTTTCAAAGGATTATTTGTATTTGTTTGTTTGTTAAGCTGCTTAAAACTAAACTATGACTCACTCAAGGAGAAAAAAAGAGGTAACGTAAGAGACAATTTTTAATTGTATCTTTAGGTACCTTGTTAGTAGCAGTCTGTTGCAGAAACTCGTCATTTGTTCCCACCACAATACCATCTGGAAAGCATTTGATTGGCAAAGCTTCATTTTTCCAACATGATAACGATCCCAAACACTTCCAGTCCAGTAAAAGCAGACCT